CTGCAAACAAACGTAAATTCCACTAGTTCTTCACGTTCTGCAGATGTAGATGCCACTGCTTCTTCATACTTTGCAGATGTAGATGCTACTGTTTCTTCATGTTCTGCAGATGCCACTGGTTCTTCATGCTTTGCAGATGTAAATATCACTGGTTTTTCGTTATTTACAGATTTAGATGCCACTGGTTCTCCATATTCTGCAGATGTCAACGGTTCTTCATGTTCCACACATGTATATTCCACTGGTTTTTCATTATTTGCAGATTTAGATGCCACTCGTTCCTCACGTTCTGCAGATGTAGATGCCACTGGATTATCACGCTTTTCAGATGTAGATGCCACTGCTTCTTCATGTTTTGCAGATGTAGATGCCACAAGTTCTTCATGCTTTGCAGATGTAGATGCAACTGGTTCTTCGTGTTCTGCAGACGTCGATGCCACCTGGTTCTTCATTTTCTGCAGATGTAGATGCCACTGGTTATTCACATTCTGTAAATGCAGATGTCACGTTTTGCAGATGTAGATGCCACTGGTTCTTCAAAGTTCTGCAGATGTAGATGCCACTGGTTCTTCACGTTCTGCAGACGTAGATGCTACTGGTTCTTCATTTTCTGCAGATGCCACTGGTTCGTCACGTTCTGCAGATGCAGATGTCACTGGTTCTTCACGTTCTGCAGATGTAGATGCCACTGGTTCTTCATGCTTTGTAGATGTTGATGCCACTGGTTATTCATGTTCTGCAGACGTAGATGCCACAGTGGCATCTTCATGTTCTGCAGACGTATTTGCCACCACAGCCATCTATTGTGCGGCAGTTAAACTTACAACTCTCGGTGCGAACAGGCAACTGGGTATACGGACTTGTTTGTTAGTATCTCTGAAAGTTCATAAGTCGAATGTTCGGAAGGAGAGGAGTGCCTGTACTGCACATGTCCACCAGATGATGGCAGGCATAGCCATGTCTTGAATACCTTGCAGTTGGTCTTCATTCGGGCGTTTCTAGAGGGATTTCTACCGTATCAATCAAGGGGGTTCAATACTATATACGGTTTGTGTACGGTGGGAAATAAATTCTGCACCCACACATTCTCTTAATTCTCTAGCAGCAGCTTCGCTCCTTTGCCTCCATTCCTAAACAGTGAGTTCGTTCTTCTTCCTCCATTGTATAGCAGCTACACTCCTCTACCTCTCACCACTACCGCCTCTAACCACCACCACTACCGCCTCTCAGCACCATAACATCTCACCACCACCTCCTCTCACCACCACCTCTTACTACCACCACAGCCTCTCACCACCACCACCACTGCCTCAGCGCCGCCACCGTTCACCGCCGCCAAGGCCTCTTACCACCCGCTTCTCACCACCACCAACCTCTGACCATCTCCAACCTCACCGGTATCCTCTCCCTACCACCAACACCACTTCCTCTCAGCCTCACCTGCACATCCATCAGCCACTCACAAATTAGAGGACCCCCACCCCGAGTCGCTGCGGAGTGGAGATTCCATAAAGCGTGTCTCGTGACATTCCTAAAGCGCGTGTCTCGCGACATTCATAAAAAAACATGTCTCGTGTCGTTCCTGTGAGTAGAGTGTGGCTCTGGTGGGCAACTGAGCGAGTAGTTGGGACAGTGATGGTGGATGGTGTTGGTGAGGGTGGATGATGAATGGTTGTGGAGGATGGATGGTGATGCAGAGAGGATGGCGATGGAGGGTGGAAGGTCATTTGTGGTGGATGGTGAATGTTCATGTATGATGGAGGGTGATATGTGGTGGATGGTGGATGTTGACGGAGGGTGGATGTTGATGCGTGGTGGATCGTGATGTGGATGGTGAGGGTTGATGGTTCTCACCGTGGGCCGAGTTGGTGGAGTCGCCCTTCAACCCTTGATTTGTCTCCACTTTCGCGTCATCCGAGTACTGACCGCGAAGCGAGCGGAGCAGCAGCAAGGGCTGCGAATTGTTACGTCTGGGAGCCACCGGGTGGCGCACGGGTACCGTGGGACCCGAGCCACGACCCCCTCATGCCACAAGTGCTGTTGATGCCCTGTCTCAGTGTCGGGGTGACCACATTGTCAGCTCAGGGATTGGCAACCGGGCAGATGGAAGACCCCAATATTTGATGTCTCTTTGCACGGTCGCACCCCAGGCTCTTCCATATCGTGGCTTCTCTTGCCCCAATCACATCGTCGCTATGCTCACGGTCTTGAACATTTAACGCTGTAAGGGGGGCCTCCTAACTCTTAGCTTTGGCCACCACGGGGATGCAAAGCCCCCCCCCCCACCCTCGTGACGCTACTGCCCTGCCCCGTCTCAAGGCCTTCCTTCCGTCCTTTGCCCACGACTGCCTGTCTCTCAGTGCCGACTCGAGCCACGCCGCCAACTCTGTGCGGCATCTCGAGGTCCGGTTGCAAGTTGCGCGCCGCCACTGAGTAAAATCCCCATTGCAGACGCACTGGGAAAGGGTTGCCACCTAACTCGGGACAGCCTGGGACTTGACGTCTGTGTTCGGGCGGCAGGAGTTTGCACTTGTACCGAGATCTGTTGCCTGGGCCGCCTCTTGAGAAATCTGACCGAGTTGGGGGGGGGGGGTCTGCAGTGGCGCCACGGTAGCCAGATGTTAAATCCCTCGCCTGGTATAGAGGTCGTGGGTTCGATCCTGACCCGGACTGCTATATATTTGGAGTTTGCGTCTCTCTCTCCGCTTGGTTGTGGCTACTTTCTCCGCGTCATGCCAGTTTTCCCTCCGCATTTAGAATCAACATCACGCGTTTAGAGTTGGCTGCTGCTGCCATACATTTCCACATCGATGAGCCACTTAAGTGAGCTATCAATTGTAATAGCCCGGTCGCTTCTGAAAAACACCTGCATAGCTCAGTGGGGCCCTTACCTGGTAAAAAGAAAATGTTATGTTTTTTTCACTCGCACTCAAAAAACGCGAAGCGACTTCCTGCATCGACCTCGGTCCGCTCACTGCCAGCAGCGTTTATTCCACACACTTTGGCACAAACAGCGCATGGCCGACGTTCCAGAACCTGACCGCTGGGCAGGCATGAAAGGCCCAGATTCAAAAGCGCTCGGCTGAGGACCAAACGTTCGGCCAGAAATTTGTCTCGAACACCTGAATCGCGTGCCTCGTTCTTTCACAACAGAACGCGCTCACTCCTGCGAACATTACATTTCGATTTTCGCAGGTAACAAAAAACAGATGAATAACATTTGTAACACGAACACTTGAACAATCGCCAAGGCACCAAAGCCAATCGCAACAATTAAGAGTGGCGAGACTGTTTCCTGAGTAACAAGTGCAATAACACTGAAATCACGTTGGTTGGTCACTGGTGGGAATGTTTGCTCGTAACGGACTTGGTTGATTGTTGTGTTTTTAGCAGGGAACCCCACCTTGATGAAGTCTGGTGAGAAGTTCCATGCGTGCTGGCTATTATTCGTCACACCCAGCCTTCTCAATCCTGCGTCTAGAGCTGGGACCGTGAGTCACTAAACTGTGTCTAGAGCTGGGACCGTGAGTCACTAAATTGTGTCTAGAGCTGGGACTGTGAGTCACTAAACTGTGTCTAGAGCTGGGACTGTGAGTCACTAAACTGTGTCTAGAGCTGGGACTGTGAGTCACTAAACTGTGTCTAGAGCTGGCACCGTGAGTCACTAAACTGTGTCTAGAGCTGGGACGGTGAGTCACTAAACTGTGTCTAGAGCTGGGACTGTGAGTCACTAAACTGTGTCTAGAGCTGGGACTGTGAGTCACTAAACTGTGTCTAGAGCTGGGACTGTGAGTCACTAAACTGTGTCTAGAGCTGGCACCGTGAGTCACTAAACTGTGTCTAGAGCTGGGACCGTGAGTCACTAAACTGTGTCTAGAGCTGGGACTGTGAGTCACTAAACTGTGTCTAGAGCTGGGACTGTGAGTCACTAAACTGTGTCTAGAGCTGGGACTGTGAGTCACTAAACTGTGTCTATAGCTGGGACCGTGAGTCACTAAACTGTGTCTAGAGCTGGGACCGTGAGTCACTAAACTGTCTAGAGCTGGGACTGTGAGTCACTAAACTGTCTATAGCTGGGACTGTGAGTCACTAAACTGTGTCTAGAGCTGGGACTGAGTCACTAAACTGTGTCTAGAGCTGGGACTGTGAGTCACTAAACTGTGTCTAGAGCTGGGACCGTGAGTCACTAAACTGTGTCTAGAGCTGGGACTGTGAGTCACTAAACTGTCTAGAGCTGGGACTGTGAGTCACTAAACTGTGTCTAGAGCTGGGACTGAGTCACTAAACTGTGTCTAGAGCTGGGACTGTGAGTCACTAAACTGTGTCTAGAGCTGGGACCGTGAGTCACTAAACTGTGTCTAGAGCTGGGACCGTGAGTCACTAAACTGTGTCTAGAGCTGGGACCGTGAGTCACTAAACTGTGTCTAGAGCTGGGACTGTGAGTCACTAAACTGTGTCTAGAGCTGGGACCGTGAGTCACTAAACTGTGTCTAGAGCTGGGACTGAGTCACTAAACTGTCTATAGCTGGGACTGTGAGTCACTAAACTGTGTCTAGAGCTGGGACTGTGAGTCACTAAACTGTGTCTATAGCTGGGACCGTGAGTCACTAAACTGTGTCTAGAGCTGGGACCGTGAGTCACTAAACTGTGTCTAGAGCTGGGACCGTGAGTCACTAAACTGTGTCTAGAGCTGGGACTGTGAGTCACTAAACTGTGTCTAGAGCTGGGACTGTGAGTCACTAAACTGTGTCTAGAGCTGGGACTGTGAGTCACTAAACTGTGTCTATAGCTGGGACCGTGAGTCACTAAACTATGTCTAGAGCTGGGACTGTGAGTCACTAAACTGTGTCTAGAGCTGGGACTGTGAGTCACTAAACTGTGTCTATAGCTGGGACCGTGAGTCACTAAACTGTGTCTAGAGCTGGGACTGTGAGTCACTAAACTGTGTCTAGAGCTGGGACGTGAGTCACTAAACTGGTCTAGAGCTGGATCGGAGTCACTAAACTGTGTCTAGAGCTGGGACCGTGAGTCACTAAACTGTGTCTAGAGCTGGGACTGTGAGTCACTAAACTGTGTCTAGAGCTGGGACTGTGAGTCACTAAACTGTGTCTAGAGCTGGGACTGTGAGTCACTAAACTGTGTCTAGAGCTGGGACCGTGAGTCACTAAACTGTGTCTAGAGCTGGGACCGTGAGTCACTAAACTGTGTCTAGAGCTGGGACTGTGAGTCACTAAACTGTGTCTAGAGCTGGGACTGTGAGTCACTAAACTGTGTCTAGAGCTGGGACTGTGAGTCACTAAACTGTGTCTAGAGCTGGGACTGTGAGTCACTAAACTGTGTCTAGAGCTGGGGTCGTGAGTTACTAAATTCTGTGTTTAGAGCTGCGACCATGAGTCACTAAACTGTCTAAAGTTGGGACCGTGAAACAGTAAACTCTGTGGGTCTAGAGTTGGGACCGTGAGTCACTAATATGTGTCTAGAGCTGGTACCGTGAGTCACTAAACTCGGTGTGTCTATAGCTGGGACCATGAGTCACTAAACTCTGTGTGTTTGGAGTCAAGACCGTGAGTCACTAAACTATATGTCTACAGCTGGAACCGTAAGTCACTAAACTCTATGGGACTAGAGCTGAGACAGTGAGTCACGAAAGTCTGTGTCTATAGCTGGGACCGAGAGTCGCTAAACTCAGTGGGTCTAGAGTTGGGGCCGTGAGTCACTAAACCCTGTGTCTATACAACTCGGTTAGTGAATGACTAAACTGTGTCGAGTTGGAACTGTGAGTCACTAAACTGTGTCTAAAGATGGGGCCTTGAGTCGCTAAACTCAGTGTGTCTAGAGGTGGGACAATGAGTCACGAAACTCTGTCCAGAGTTAAGACCGTGAGTCCCTAAACTCAGTGTGTCTAGAGCTGGAACTGTGAGTCACTAAACTCAGTGTCTAGAGCTAGGACCGTGAGTCACTAAACTCTGTGTGTCTAGAGCTGGAACTGTGAGTCACTAAACTCTGTGTGTCTAGAGCTGAGACAGTGAGTCACTAAATTCTGTCTATAGCTGGGACTGTAAGTCACGAAACTCTGTCTAGAGTTGGGACCCTTAGTCACTAAACTCAGTGTGTCTGGAGTCAAGACTGTGAGTCACTAAATTCTGTCTAGAGTTAAGACCGTGAGTCACTGAACAATGTGTCGAGAGCTGGGACCGTGAGTCACTAAATTCTGTGTCTATCGCTGGGAGCACGAGTCGCTAAACTCAGTGTCTAGAATCTTAATTTTGGAGCTTTCGTGACTGCAGGAATTATTCTTTGGTTTTTTCGGTAAAGTCACGTATAAAAATAAAATAATAAATTAAATAATAGCATACGACGTTTCGATTATTTTATTTTTATACGTGACTTTACCGAAAAAAACAAAGAATAATCAGTGTCTAGAATTGGGACCGTGACTCACTAAACTCTGGATGTCTAGAGCTGGGACCGATAGTCACTAAACTCAGTGTGTCTAGGGCTGGGACCTTGAGCCACTAAACTCTGTCTACAGCTGGGGCCGTGAGTCACTAAACTCGGTGTCTTGATTTGGGACTGTGAGTCAAACTCTGCGTCTCGAGTTCAGATCGTGAGTCACTAAACTCAGTATGTCTAGAACTGCGGTCATGAGTCACTAAACTCTGTCTAGAGTTAAGACCATGAGTCGCTAAATTCAGTGTTCTTCGGTTCTTTCGGTAAAGTCACGTAGATAGAAATTAATCACGATGTTTCGATCGCAACACAAGCAATCCTCATCAGGGTGAGTATTGCTTGTGTTGCGATCGAAACGTCGTTATTTATTTTAATTTCTAACTACGTGACTTTACCGAAAGAACCAAAGAGTATGGATTTCTGCATCACGAAAGCTTCAAATCCAGATTAAGCTCTGTGGGTCTACAGCTGGGACCACGAGTCACTAAACTCACTGTCTACAGCTGGGGCTGTGAGTCACTAAACTCACCGTGTCTACAGCTGGGGCCGTGAGTCACTAAACTCTGTGGGTCTATAATTGGGACCGTGAGTCACTAAACTGTGTGTCTAGAGCTGGGACCATGAGTCTCTAAACTCTTTGTCTGCAGCTGGGACCGTGAGTCATTACACGCGGTGTGTCTAGAGCTGGGACTGTGAGTCACTAAACTGTTTCTAGAGTTGGGACCCTGAATAACCTAAACTCTGTGTCTCGGACTGGGACCACGAGTCACTAAACTGTGTCTAGAGCTGGGACCGTGAGTCACTAAACTCAGTGTGTCTACAGCTGGGACCGTGTGTCACTAAACTCAGCGTGTCCAGAACTCGGACCGTAAGTCACTAAACTGTGTCTAGAGCTGTGGCCGTGAGTAACTCAACTTTTTGTGTCTGGAGTTGGGACCGTGAGTCACTAAACTCTGTATAGAGTTAAGAGCGTGAGTTACTAAACGATGTGTGTCGAGAGCTGGGACCGTGAGTCACTAAAATGCTGTCTATAGTTGGGAGCATGAGTCGCTAAACTCAGTGTCTACAGCTGGGACAGTGAGTCACTAAACTGTGTCTAGAGTTGGGACTGTGAGTCACTAAACTCAGTGTGTCTACAGCTGGGACCTTGCGCTACTAAACTCTGTCTACAGCTGGGGCCGTGAGTCACTAAACTCGGTGTCTTGATCTGGGACTGTGAGTCTAACTCTGCGTCTCGAGTTCAGACCGTGAGTCACTAAACTGTTTCTAGAGTTGGGACCCTGAATCACCTAAACTCTGTGTCTCGGGCTGGGAACACGAGTCACTAAACTGTGTCTACAGCTGGGACCATGTGTCACTAAACTCAGCGTGTCTATAGCTGGGACCGTGTGTCACTAAACTCACTGTCTAGAGCTAAGACCGTGAGTCACTAAACTCACTGTCTAGAGCTTTGACCGTGAGTCACTAAATTCAGCGTGTCTAGAGCTGCGACCGGGAGTCACTAAACACTGTGTCGAGAGCTCGGACCGTGAGTCGCTAAACTCGGTGTCTTGATCTGGGACTGTGAGTCAAACTTTGCGTCTCGAGTTCAGACCGTGAGTCACTAAACTCAGTGTGTCTAGAACTGCGGCCGTGAGTCACTAAACTCTGTCTAGAGTTAAGACCGTGAGTCGCTAAATTCAGTGTTCTTTGGTTCTTTTGGTAAAGTCACGTACATAGAAATAAAAGAAAACAAATCACGATGTTTCGATCGCAACACAAGCAATCCTCATCAGGGTGAGTATTGCTTGTGTTGCGATCGAAACGTCGTTATTTATTTAAATTTCTAACTACGTGACTTTACCGAAAGAACCAAAGAGTATGGATTCCTGCATCACGAAAGCTTCAAATCCAGATTATACTCTGTGGGTCTAGAGCTGGGACCACGAGTCACTAAACTCACTGTCTACAGCTGGGGCTGTGAGTCACTAAACTCACCGTGTCTACAGCTGGGGCCGTGAGTCACTATACTCTGTGGGTCTAGAATTGGGACCGTGAGTCACTAAGCTGTGTGTCTAGAGCTGGGACCATGAGTCACTAAACTCTCTATCTACAGCTGGGACGGTGAGTCATTAAACTCAATGTGTCTAGAGCTGGGACTGTGAGTCACTAAACTCAGTGTGTTTATAGCTGCGACCGTGAGTCACTAAACTGTTTCTAGAGTTGGGACCCTGAATAACCTAAACTCTGTCTCGGGCTGGGACCACGAGTCACTAAACTCAGTGTCTACAGCTGGGACCGTGAGTCACAATACTCAGTGTGTCTAGAACTCGGACCGTGAGTCATTAAACTATGTCTAGAGCTGCGGCCGTGAGTCACTAAACTCTGTGTCTAGAGCTGTGGCCGTGAGTAACTCAACTCTTTGTGTCTGAAGTTGGGACCGTGAGTCACTAAACTGTCTACAGTTAAAAGCGTGAGTCACTAAACGACGTGTGTCGAAAGCTGGGACCGTGAGTCACTAAATGCTGTGTCTATAGTTGGGAGCATGAGTCGCTAAACTCAGTGTCTACAGCTGGGACAGTGAGTCACTAAACTGTGTCTAGAGTTGGGACTGTGAGTCACTAACCTCGGTGTGTCTAGAGCTGGGACCGTGAGTCGCTAAATTCTGTCTAGAGTTAAGACCGTGAGTCACTGAACAATGTATGTCGAGAGCTGGGACCGTGAGTCACTCAATTCTCGCTGGGAGCATGAGTCGCTAAACTCAGTGTCTAAAATTGGGACCGTGAGTCACTAAACTCAGTGTGTCTAGAGCTAGGACTGTGAGTCACTAAACTCTGTGTCTACAGCTGGGACCATGAGTCACTAAACTGTGTCTAGAGCTGTGACCGTGAGTAACTCAACTCTTTGTGTCTGAAGTTGGGACTGTGAGTCACTAAACTCTGTCTAGAGTTAAGAGCGTGAGTCGCTAAACTCAGTGTCTACAGCTGGGACAGTGAGTCACTAAACTGTGTCTAGAGTTGGGACTGTGAGTCGCTAAACTGTGTGTCAACAGCTGGGACCGTGTGTCATAATACTTAGTGTGTCTAGAACTCGGACCGTGAGTCACTAAACTCAGTGTCTAGAGCTGGAACCGTGAGTCACTAAACTCCATTGTGTCTACAGCTGGGACAGAGTTTAGTGACTCACTGTGTGTCGAGAGTTAAGACCGTGAGTCACTAAACTGTGTTTCTAGAGTTGGGCCCCTGAATCACCTAAACTGTGTCTCAGGCTGGGACCGTTGTCACTAAACACAGTGTGTCTAGAGCTGGGACGAGTCACTAAACTGTGTCTACAGCTGGGACCGTGAGTCACTAAACTCCGTGCTTCGAGAGCTAGGACCGCAAGTTACTAGACTCTGTGTCTACAGCTGGGACCGTGGGTTACGAAAGTCCATGTGTCTAGAATTAAACTGTGAGTCACTAAACTCAGTGTGTCTAGAGCTGGGACCGTGTTTCACTAAACTCATTGTCTAGAGCTAAGACCGTGAGTCACTAAACTGTGTCTAGAGCTGGGACCGTGAGTCAGTAAACTCCATGTATCTAGAGCTAGGACCGCAAGTTACTAGACTCTGTGTCTACAGCTGGGACCGCGGGTCACGAAAGTCCGTGTGTTTAGAGTTAAGACCGTGAGCCACTAAACTGTGTGTATACAGCTGGGACCGTAAGTCACTAAACTGTGTCTAGAGCTGGTGCCGTGATCCACTAAACTCTAGAGCTGGAAAAAATTAGTACCACTTTGTGTGGGAGTCAACAATGGTTCTTTTGGATAGACTCATCCCTGTCATAGGAACATGTAATTTCCACCACTTGCTCAGGGCTATAAACGGGGTGCACCGACGCTCCCTGGAGCAGGAAAGCATCTCAGGCCAATAGACTTTTGTAATCGACGAGAAAATCGTAATCGACGGCTCTTTCTGTAGCCAATTACCGGGTCCCCCTTCAGAAATATCAGCCCACCCTCCCCTCCTTCCCCCTGCCATGAAACCCCCTACAAGCCACGTCCAGCAAGACACTGTTTCAATGACAGGTATAGTCTGCCAGCTGGGTGGCGATTTAGATATGTGTTTTTACTATTGAGAGCGAATTGCCGTGTCGTTTTTAATGTGGCAAAAAATTTGGACCGAGAGGGGCCTATGGACAACGGCCGACTCGTTTAGAATCGCGTCACGGGATCCTTAAAGTCCACCATGGGGGAGAAGAGGGGAAAAGCGGGTGGCTCATGGCAACTCCCGCGGTTAACGCGACCGGCACACGACGTTAACTGGGGCGGTCGCTCGGCTTGAAATGCCCATGGGCGTCTCGGGCACGCAAGCGAACCGTTCGGTGCAGAGCACTCGCGGCCATACCCCTGAGAATAACTTAGTCCAAAAACGACAACGGAAAATAAAAGTTTCATCTGCTGCGACAAGAAAGAGCGCACGGTATTGAGCGCGCGAATGTGTGTGCGTGTGCAAGTATGTGCGAGTGCGTGCGTGTGCAAGTATGTGCAAGTGCGTGCGTGCGCTTGTGAGAGTGTGTGCATTAGCGTGCGTGAGTGTGCGAGTGTGTGCGTGTGCGTGCGAACGAGCGCATTCTCCGCGAGCGGTGGCCGCGGTGTCAGGCATCGCCCAAGCTGGGCTGCGCATAGTGGAGCGATTAGTACAGCAAGTGAGTGTGAGTGCGCGCGCGAGAGAGCGAGTGCGTGCGTGAGTGCATGAGTGCGTGAGTGAGCTGGCGAGTGCGTGCGAGTGGACGCAAGTGCGTCTGTCCACCGGTAACCCCCACCCTGCCCAATCCCGCCCACCCGCGGGCTGGCACCCTCCTATCTCCTCAGCCGCTCCAGCCTCCTGCGTCTGAGCTCCTCCGGAGAGAGGAATCCCGGCTCAGGGGGGGTGAACGATCCTGTACAGAGGTGAGGGGCACAGCGGGAGGGCGATGGTGATTGGAGAAATAAGCGGAGAGGAGGCAGTGAGGGAGAGGAAGGAGTGGGAGTCAGGAGGAAAGCGGGGAGAGTCGGCGGGAGGGAGATGGGAGTGCAGGAGGGAGCGCAAAAATGAGTGGCACGGCAGCACAAAGAACGCGCGCACACGAGCGCGCGTACATACACACAGGGGCACGCAGACACGCGAGCGCTTTACACGTGACAGCGTGCATACACGCGCGCACGCACATTCACACGCATGCAAGTATATACATGCACATTCATGCAAACGTACGGACAAGCGAGCGCAAAGACAAATATCTCCCGTGTAGCCTTTAAGGGACTGTTGGGGCAAGTGCACCTGAAGGCCAACACTGCACACAAGGGAGCGGTGTGGTCAACACCACTCCCAGCCACTTTTATCTCCCCAGCGCCGATGTATGCACACCACACCGAGTACTCATTGAAGTAGCGAATCAACCTCGGGGAGGCCCAGGACTAATTGAAATATTCGCCACTTGCTATTGGTTGCGAGTGGGAATCGAATTCAGGTCGCTGGGTTCATAGCGCAGTGCACTAACCACGACAATACCGCGGCCCGCACACACGCACATACGTGTGCGAAAAAACACATGCGAAAAAACACATGCATAGACACACACGCGTGCGCGCACACACACACAAAACAAAGATCCCCCCTATAGCCTATAACAGACTGTTGGGGAAAATGTTGTTAGCGAGCACCTATGAAGGCCGACATGGCACACGAGGGGGTGGGTGGCCAGCACCACGCCCGACCGCCTTTGTCTCCCCAGTGGTGATGTTTACACACCACACCAGGTACTCATTTGAGGCTGAGTTAACCTAGGGGAGGCACATGACCGGGTTCAGATAATTCTTACTGGTCTCGGTGACCTTAAGTGGGAATTTAACTCGTGTCACCGGGTTCATAGAGCAGCGCAGCCAACCGCTCCTCACACACACTCTCACTAACAAAGACACACACACGCACAGACGCAGCAATGTACAAGAAGTGAGAGTGCATTCACACACCCCATGCACACACTCCTGTCGCAGTGCGAGCGGGTGAGGTAAATTGTGGGTACTCTTACCTCTTCCGAAACAAGGAAGGGTCCCCTAAATACACTCTCTCTCTCGAGCTCTCTCTCTCGGTGGTGCAGCACTGCCCCTTTGACCGTCACCCCACGCCAAGTGCCAAATGAACCCCGGGAGGGTGGGGGGGCGCTGCTCACTCGTGTCACGCAGGCTGGCTCGCATCGCCTCCTGCAGATCCTCGTCCTCCGATGTCTCGCCCGTGTAGCTCAGGAACTCCGCGCTGCGATGCTCGTAGCGGTGGTGGGTGTGCCATCCCGCGGCGTCTAGGGGGGGGGGTCGACAGGCGTAGGTGACGTGCGCCGGTTACGCGTGCACGGGCGCCGGCTCGGAGCGGACGGGATGAGCGGAAACCGCTCACCAAACTTAATAACCAGGCTACAGTCTACATTATAGACTGCCAGTACACTCACTCCGATTAAGAACCAGGCTACAGTCTACATTAGTGTTTTGTATTTTATTATTTTTATTTACTTTATTTTCATTATGATCTTTCGATCTACGTGACTTTACCTAAAGAACCAAAGAATATGAATTCCTGCAGTCACGAAAGTTTTAAGTCAAAATTTTACGGATTGCACGTCGCACCACGTCGCCGCCGTTACCGTCGACAGCACACGAACCGCACCTGCTCCGGGCAACTCTCCGGTCACGGCGTACCCACCCCGCGCGCACGTCAATGGATGCTGTGGCAAATGAGACATCCCATTATTGCGAGGGGCAGTCCCGGTGCAACGCTCGCACGGTTCCTTATCCCCCAGGTTCTGCGGCACCCAAAGCCGCTTGAGGCGGTCTCAAGCGAATCGCCACGTGATGGCCCCGGTCATCATCAATTCAACGAGATGAACAAAAGGCGCAAATCCCGTGGCACGACCTTCGCTCAGTCAGGGCAACGGCAGCGGCGACGTCACCACACCGGATCGGTGCCTTCAGTGCAAACATGGCCTACCAGCACCACACCGTGTCTGTCACGTTTAGGCGGCCGCACCTCTCGAGCCAATTGTGTAACCGGGTGAGAACCCAAGAGGGCCAAAGAGGACAGCAGTCTCGTAGATTTACAAGATATGACCCGCGTAGTTTGACCATACTTCCCCACTCTGGTCAGCAAGTCAAATATGCACTTTGCCGACTCGGTTGCTTCTCAACGCCTTTCAAATCTGGGTGATGGTGTCCAGGGCCGGATCATAGTCCGGTGAGGCCCCTGGGCACGTCTTTTGGAGGCCGCCCCTTTCCTATATTGGTGTCTTTCTTGCTTTCCTCCTCGCAAAATCATCCACTAGATCATCAAAATCTAGCTGTCTGACAAGGTCTGACTCTATTGACGTAAGTGACAATGAGCTGAGACGTGTTTGGCACATGCTACTCCGCAGCTCATTTTTTATTCTGCCTAAAAGGGAAAATGTCTGCTCACCCTTGCAGTTTGTCACTGGCAAAGTTAGAAAAATCCGAAGTGCCACGAAAACATTGAGGAACACTGACTGCAGATTAAGTGCCTGCAACTTCTCAAGCAATTTAGTTGGGCACTTCTCACCCTCAGAGTCAGACATGAAAGACTTGAATCGGATTAGTTCGTTGGCAAAGTTCATGTCCAGGTCTGATGGATATGTAGCGGAGAGTGCATTTACCTTGTCCACAATATCACTTTTAGACACCTGATCTGACATAAGCAGAACTCCAAAGAGACTGGTCAAACGCTTGTAAGCATCCAAGCGGTATTCAAGGCATGCCACGAGCTGATCAATGACCTAAAATGTTTCTATTTTGAACTTCTCCCTCCCCTCAAGTGTCACACCTGGCTCTGAGCTCTCATCTGCAAGTGTTTTGCGTTTCCTCTTTCGCTAACGATCGTGCTTATATGACTGAGAGACAGCTGCCCTTTCAAAAGCCTCAAACTGGTCTTGCTGTCCTGCCACAAAATCCCTCAATGAAGATAAAAGCTGTGCTGCTACAGAGATGTCACTTCTCTGTAGGTGCATATTTGTAGCGTGGAACTGGTCAAGATATGACGTCCCAGAAATGTGCCATGAACACCATCTCTAAGGTGTCCAATTTAGCACATAGTCCAGCGGCCTCTCTGATGTGAGTGGAATTTCTCCACAGTGCCTTGGCCGACTCTGCCCGAGCACTCCACCGAGTACTGGACAGCGATTTTAAAATCAGTCTGACATCTGTTGTCCGAAAGACTTTCCCCCATCCGTGTGTGGATGAAGAGCAAAATGTGTAGTGACTGCAACATGTAAAAAAACTCGTCAGCCTCTGGGCTACTGCTGTCTAAGGTGTTAATACCAACTAAGTTAAGTGAATGCACTGCGCAAGGCACATACTCTATTGTAGGGTGTTTTTGTTTCAGGTGGGCCTGTAGTCCATTGTATTTTCCTGACATTTTGCTTGCATTGTCACATGACTGACTTCTACAGTTTAAGAGGTCCAATCCAAGGCCCTCCACCATCAAAGTCACAGTCTGTTAAACTTTTACCAGTGTGGCTCTCAATTGGCTCAAAGCCCAGGAATCGCTCCACCACATTTCCACTGCTGTTAACAAACCGGAATATGAACGTCAATTCGTCCACATGTGACAGGTCTGGGGTGGAGTCAACAATTATTGAAAAATATTTGGCATCCCGAATCTCATCTGCTATTGTTTGGCGCGTTTTCTGATCCATTAGCTCAATGAGTTCTTCACATATTGTCGATGACAAACTTTTTAATATGTTCAGCAAAGAATGGATCAAACTGTGATAGCAATTCTAGGATGCCAAGGAAATTACCGTTATGGGTTGACCCAAACCATTCATCATCTCCCCTAAACGCAAGTCCTCTTTCACCCAAGAACTTGATGACTGCTACAACTCTTTCAAAATGTCCCTCCAGTATTTACGTTTCCCATCAAGTTGCTGCATGCGATCTGCATCTATAGTACTGCCCTTTGTCCGCTGGTGCAAGGCAAGCGTGCATGATCTGTGTTCTGCACTCTTTTCGTGTTCCCCTATTCTTTCAGAGTGCTTCCAGTCATTAAACCCCTGACTAAAGCCACCGAGCTTGCTTCAGAACAATTTGCATGCAAAACAGTACACATAACCTGTTGAGGGTGAGTACAGTAGCCACTGTCTAGAAACCTTCTGCCCATTTGGCAATATACGGTTCAGAAGTTCATTGTTGAAACTTCTAGTCTTTCCACCAAGCGTTCTATCTCGGACTGAAGCCGGGTATTTTCCCCTGTGGTTTTGGAAGGGGAATGCTCCTCTTTCAATAACTGACTTAACAATGTCACTGGAAGTGCTTTGCCATAAAGCAGGGTCAGTGACCTCAGAGCACCAGGAATGGCTTGGTTGCTGATTTGATTCTTGTGAACTGCCCAACTGCTCCTGAGGTGGAAATGGTTCTTGTATACCATTAGCTGTTGAGGGTTTGCCTTCAAAGGTTGGCTCTGGGGGAGTGACATTACTGGAAACTGAACTAGGTCCTACCCACAGCTGACAATAGTGCTGCTGTGATCATTATTACTATCAGAGGGTTTTTGAAAGAAGTTGGCAATGAATAAAACACTCTGAAGCAAAACTGCCTCTTGCCTCCTTTTCTTTGTCTTTCCTTTTGGAAGCACCACTATTCCAACGTTTGCGGTCCATATTTCAGAACAAGTATGCTATTTATATGAATATATTTATAGAATATCTCAATACTTATTAAATAATAATTGAATTAATATATATTAATAATGACACCATTCAAATACTGTTGTTGGAAAATACAATCAAGTGGTAGTATTTTATAGTGTACTTGTACCTAAAGGCAACTTTGAGTAGATAAAAGAAAAACATAGAAAAGCACATGACAGAATATAACCCCAACCCTTTAAAAAGGCTGTTCGAAAATAACCCTTAGGAGAGATTGTTGAAATAGCCTTTAAAAAGGCTGTTGTTTTAGAAAAAGATGAAAAAAGTATCTGAATATATTACTGTGGCGTACCAAGCAAGAAAACGGACATGTCTGTGGCTTTTCCTACCAAGAAATGTCTTATAAACCCGCCTGACACAGAGATAATTATGTTGCTTGAAATACAAAAGATAACTTTTTTTTTGGCTGAAAAACCACCAAAGGTTTCTAATGTCAGTGAAATTACGTGGTGGAAACTATGCACATAGGCCACACCCCATCGATGGGAAGGGGAAAAAGAGCTGTCAACAATTTGCATGTCAACGTTAGCATTATCTACTTCCGTGGATCTAAAAACAGACGGTCTATGGAAAAAATGAATGGGGTTTTCCTTAATATTTAAGTATGGATTGGGTCTCTTATATATGTGTTAATGTATGAAAAAATATAGCTTTTGGCATTTTTTTTTATGTTTCACAAAACCGCGGTGTATTTTTTATAATTTGTCAACAGCTAAGCTCTCAACAAATGAAGAGCCCTCGGTCTCACTAGCTGGCTTTTTAGTGCAGCCAATTTGGTTGTAGGGGCAGCTAGCTGGCAAAAATGGCAGCTCGCTATCTAAATTCTGTTAACAAGCTGAATCATATGGGCAGCTAGCTAGGGAAAATGGGCAGATAGCTAAAATAAAGGGATAGCTAGTTACGAACGGCTTGCCATAATGACGCCCTTCAAACTGTCCTGTTATGCAGAATGAACTGACTTGTTGGTGAATATTGTATCATGTCACAGCATATTGTAGCGTGCCAACCAGTGGCTAAGTTGTACAGAAGCACTGTACTCTCCGAGAGGCTCTCGTTTTAAGCATGCACTATATGTACCAAGGGGCCCCAGGTGTTACGCTTGATGTATGCACCGAGGGGCCTGGGGGCCCGAGTGGTCAACTCGCGCTTTAAGCACCGAGGGGCCTCACATTGTAAGCGCTGTGGGGCCCAGGGGCCCGAGTGGTCAGCTAGCGCTTTAAGCACGGAGGGGCCCAGGGACCCTCACACTGTAGGTGCCGAGGGGCCCAGAGGCTCCAGTGGTCAGATCATGCTTTAAGCCCAAGGAGCCTAGGGGCCCTAGTGGTCAGCTCACTCTTTAAAAAACGCCAAGGGGCCTGGGAGCTCTGACACTGTAAGCGCCAAGGGGTCTGGGGGGCAGTAATGGTGAGCTCACATTTTAAACACCAAGGGGCCCGGGGGCCCTCACATTGCAAGCGCTGATGGGTCTGGGGGGCCCTAGTGGTTAGCTCACGCTATAAGCACCCAGGGGCCTAGTGGTCAGCTTGCGATGTGCGCATTGAGGGCCCTGGCGTTCAACTTCCTTCGGAGGTCGTGGGCCATGCACCGCGCGCGGCCTAAGGCTTGGAGGCCCCCTGGCAGTGCGAGGCCCCAGGGCACTGGAACCACTGGTCCGGTCCATAATCCAGCCTTGATGGTGTCGGCGGCGTGCAGCTTCGAGGTCCCGGTGACTCTCGCAACGACAATGCAACGCGAGTGGCGTGCGAGTGTAAAGTTGCGTAGGTATCTAGGAAGTCGCCGTACAGGAAACCGGATTGCACTGATCAAAGGCCTTCCCAACATTTGGCAATAAAAAATCCAGCGATGAAAGATTGGCCTTGTTGCCCACAGGGTGACGCCATATGGACACACACACGCACCTTATTCCTCTCCCCACGATGTCACTCGGACTGGACGGAAGTAACAGATGGACGAACAGAGAGACAAACAGATGGACAAAGCTAAAGCGATTAAACCTTCACTGGTAAAGCATTAGATCCGACGACAACATCAAGTGCACCTCCTCCTCCTCGTATCTTGGTTGAATTTCCGCTTCATTAATCAACCAATTTCCTTTCCCGAATTTAAATCCTCGCTCCTCCCCCGTCGTTAGCCAAACCGGGGAGGTGGGACCCCCCTCCCACCAGCACCCCCGCCCCCCACCTTGGCACCCCCACCCCTCCCCCTGGCACCCCCACCCCTCCCTACCGGGGCCCGCGGCTGAGCAGGTTTCGCTGTGAGGGTGTCAGGGCAAGACATTCACGGGCGGCTGCATCGACTTTTTAAACATTCAGACGCCTCTCGGCCATTCTGAGCACAGCCCCAGGCCTCAGGGCCGGCCGGGGACTTCTCCGCTCCTCACAGCCGGCCATGGCCTCCATGCGCTGCTGGATGAAGGCCCTCCAAGAGCCGTCGCCATCTCCATGCCCGCACGCGATCACGTCCGGCACATTGCGTTTGCCCGTTTGGCGACCCTGGGGTTGCTCTCGCAAAACAAGGCCTCATCCTTGTGTCTCGGGTCATTAAAATAAGTAAATGAAGGTGCGCTGGCGGAAGGAGCCGATTTCGTCGTCGCTCCATCTCCGCGGAGGATGTATTCTCTGGCACGTTCCATCTCTCGGCTGCCACTCCGTCGCCAGTCTCATCGGATTGTTCAAGTATGAATAAATATTTCTGATTCTGATCGTGTCTTCTAGCCGGGTCACATCCGGCCAAAGCTGACTTACTTATCCTAACGGTCAACGTGATGTCTTCATCTCTTGTTTGTTCTCAAATCCGAGTCTTCTCTCCATCTCTTTCTCTCTACTCTGCAAAATCAGCCTAAGAAAGATAAATCTCTGTGGCAGACCACCCACCCCTTCGCCCCTCCCAACCCTCCCCCAAGACCTCCACAGGCCCCTCCCCCTGGCGAGCTAATAAATATTGTAGGTACCGTCTGATGGCAGTCGCACGCATGTGGTGGTGGTGGCGACGATGGCGGTGGTGGCGGTGGTGGGGGCGCCCGCCGCCGATGTTTACTCTTGTCATGGCCCAAATTCGACAAATTATTACAAACGGAGCAAAGGCAGCGAGCGGGGTGGACACGTGCAGGCCAGGTCCCCCCTCCCCGTGACACTACGCGGACAGTACCGGTGGCAGAGAGCAACGGAACTGTGCCACACGGTGGTAAGGAACACCATGTGCGGTGGCCTCGCAGGGAGAGGTGCGCGCGGGGCGCCTGAGCCAAAGGCTTTTCTCTGTTCGGCACCAATTTTAATGGCTTGGGGCGGCGCTTTGAACGTGGCTAGTTTTTTTCCAAAGGTGAGTTCCCCGATAGCCACGCAACTTTACACTTTGAGTTCAGATCTTCCTGACGAGTTATCGTGACCCCCGCGTGACAGACAGCGATACAGACGGAGCTGACGCACGCAAGTTTGCAACCTTAGTTGGAGAGCACTGAGGAGCAATCGATCCGGTAAACTAATCTGGCCAAGGAATGGTGACGATTCCTAGAATCGTAAAGGGGACATTGATTTGCAATATCGGTCGACACGCACGCAAGCGCAGGCAAGCACGCGCACGCTCGCACGCACGCATGCAAGCGCATGCGCGCACAGGCACGCACACGCTCGCAAGCACTCGCACGCACGCGCAGGCACGGCGCTCCTCCTCTGCTCCTCCCCCCGTGCCCTCTCCGCACCATCACATATTATTTATGTCCCACGAGACACAGCGGGGCATAACACGCTCACGGAGAACACACTCACGGAAAGCACGTGCACACGTGTACACAAGGGGTATCACACGCAACTCAGATCAAAAGACGCAAAAAAAATACACGCACGCAAGCGCGCACCAGACAGAGCATTCACAGGAACCAAAGCGCACGCGCAAACTCACTCACCGGCACAAGCACGCACATGGCCACCCGCACGCCAACACGCGCGACTACACGCACATGCGCAGCACGACGATACACACACAGCACGCCACGTTGTGTCAAGGCCCGGGACCTCTCTCGCAACACTTACAAGCCAAACCCCGGAGGCCCCAAAGGGCGAACCGCAGTGTGGCCAACAACGCGACAACGACGGCATGGCTTTGCCGACACGCTCGCCTCCACCTGCTCGGCAGCGATTTGCTCCACACCGCCCCAAACCCACACACCCCCCTTCATCCTCAACGCCCCCCCCCCCACTCACCAGCATGGTCGCTGTAGAATACTCTGCGCAGGATTCTTGACCCAAACACCACGGCATCTACGCGACATAAACCGTGTAATTATTGATGCTGCCATCGTGGAACGATGGGAGGGAGGAGAGTGCATGTGTCTGTATGTGTGCCAGTCGACAGTGAGTAGCGGTAGGGTAGTGGTTAGTGTGCTGTGCTATGAACCCAGCCACCTGAGTTCGATTCCCGCTCACGGCCAACACCGGTGACGATTATGTGAACCTGGGCCTCCCCTAGGTCGACTCAGCCTCAAATGAGTACCTGGTGTGACGTGTAAACATCGCCACTAGGGAGACAAAGGCGGCCGGACGTGGTACTGGCGATCCACCCCCTCGTGTGCCGTGCCGGCCTTCATAGGTGCTCGCTAACAGCACTTGCCACAACAGTCTGTTCAGGCTATACAGGCGATCTTGGTCTTGCCAGCGGTGGTCCAGTGGTTAGCGCACTGCCAAGTTTGATTCCCAAAATCGGTGATGAATATCTAAACTGGTCCCGAGCCTCCCCAAGTTCGACTCACCCTTAAACATCAGAAATGGGGAGACAAAGGCGGCCGAGCATGGTGCTCCACGCCGGCCTTTGTAGGTGCTCGCTAAGAGCACTTGTGCAGGCGACATGGGGGACCTTTGTCGTTGCGTGTCGGTTGGAGCGGTGCCGCCCTGTCCAGGAATGAAACTCAGGTCACAGGGTTCGTGGCGAAGGTCACCAAATGCTTCACGACTCCGGGACCAGGCCAGGGGGCTCAGCGATGGAGCGAGTAGCTCGCAGAAACCGGACTAAACTACCAAAACTATTTCATTATTTTACCAGGTATGGCCCACTGAGCTCTACAGCTTTTTCAGAAGCGTGCTGGCTATATCACGTAAAAATGTATACTAGCAGCCAAATACTCTAAACGCGTGACATTGATTCTAAACGTGTAGGGAAAAACCGGAGGAAATTCCACGCGACCACGGGGAGAGAGAGACACACGAAAACTCCAAATATACAGCAGGCGTCAGGGTCGGGATTAAACCCACGACCTCCTGTATACCAGGCGAGGTAGCTAACATCTCACCACCATGGGGTTCCATGGTGGCGAATCCACATGCTGGTTGTGGGGGGGATTGACTGAGCCCATCAGCCCTCCCTCCGGGGGTCAATCAAATAAGCACCACATTGGAGGGTAGAGATCAACAGCGGCTGTCCTCCGAAAATACCCGCCCTGCTATAGTAATGTGGAATCTGCACCTCCGACTCAGGGGTTGAGCACCGCCTCAATGGCCATTGGGGCAGGAAATGCCTGCGATATGTTTAAGAAGTCCGTCTCAAACTCGCTCCGTCACTCCGCGACGTGGCCCCCGACCTAAGCCAGCCCGTGAAACCGGACATCTGTGAAAAAGAGCTTTACGGCTCATCAGATTCCACGAGTACAAGTAAATAAATTCCGACGATTCTGATTCTGCAGCCAGAGGCGAGGGGGAGAGGCGAGGGGGAGAGGGAGGCGAGGGGGAGAGGCGAGGGGGAGAGGGAGGCGAGGGGGAGAGGCGAGGGGAGAGGGAGAGGGAGGCGAGGGGGAGAGGCGAGGGGGGAGAGGGAGGCGAGGGGGAGAGGCGAGGGGGAGAGGGAGGCGAGGGGGAGAGGCGAGGGGGAGAGGGAGGCGAGGGGAGGCGAGGGGGAGAGGGAGGCGAGGGGGAGAGGCGAGGGGGAGAGGGAGCGGGGGAGAGGCGAGGGGGAGAGGGAGGCGAGGGGAGAGGGAGGGGTGAGAGGGAGGCGAGGGGGAGAGGCGAGGGGGAGAGGGAGGCGAGGGGGAGAGGCGAGGGGGAGAGGGAGGCGAGGGGGAGAGAGCGAAGGGGGAGAGGGAGGCGAGGGGGAGAGGGAGGCGAGGGGGAGAGGGAGGCGAGGGGGAGAGGGAGGTGAGGGGGAGAGGCGGAGGGGAGAGGCGAGGGGAGAGGGCGAGGGGAGGGCTGAGGGGGAGAGGGAGGGGGGAGGAGGCGAGGGGGAGAGGCGAGGGGGAGAGGGAGGGAGGGGGAGAGGCGAGGGGGAGAGGCGAGGGGGAGAGGGAGGCGAGGGGGAGAGGCGAGGGGGAGAGAGCGAGGGGGAGAGGGAGGCGAGGGGGAGAGCGAGGGGCGAGGGGGCGAGGGAGGAGAGGGGAAGGCGAGGGGGAGGAGAGGGAGGCGAGGGGGAGAGAGCGAGGAGAGGGGGAGAGGGGAGGCGAGGGGAGAGGAGGCGAGGGGGAGAGAGGGAGGCGAGGGGGATGAGGGAGGCGAGGGGGGAGAGTGAGGGGAGAGAGAGGCGAGGAGGAGAGGGAGGCGAGGGGGAGAGGCGAGGGGGGAGAGGCGAGGGGGAGAGGGAGGCGAGGGGGAGAGGCGAGGGGGAGAGGGAGGCGAGGGGGAGAGGGAGGCGAGGGGGAGAGGCGAGGGGGAGAGGGAGGCGAGAGGGAGGCGAGGGGGAGAGGCGAGGGGAGAGGCGAGGGGGAGAGGGAGGCGAGGGGGAGAGGGAGGCGAGGGGGGAGAGGGAGGCGGGGGGGAGGCGAGGGGGAGAGGCGAGGGGGAGAGGCGAGGGGGAGAGGGAGGCGAGGGGGAGAGGCGAGGGGGAGAGGGAGGCGAGGGGGAGAGGGAGGCGAGGGGGAGGGAGGCGAGGGGGAGAGGCGAGGGGAGAGGTGAGGGGGAGAGGCGAGGGGGAGAGGCGAGGGGGAGAGGGAGGCGAGGGGAGAGGTGAGGGGGAGAGGCGAGGGGGGAGAGGGAGGCGAGGGGGAGAGGCGAGGGGGAGAGGCGAGGGGGAGAGGGAGGCGAGGGGGAGAGGCGAGGGGGAGAGGCGAGGGGGGGAGAGGGAGGCGAGGGGGAGAGGCGAGGGGGAGAGGGAGGCGAGGGGGAGAGGGAGGCGAGGGGGAGAGGGAGGCGAGGGGGAGAGGCGAGGGGGAGAGGCGAGGGGGAGAGGCGAGGGGGAGAGGGAGGCGAGGGGGAGAGGCGAGGGGGGAGAGGGAGGCGAGGGGGAGAGGGAGGCGAGGAGGAGAGGTGAGGGGGAGAGGCGAGGGGGAGAGGCGAGGGGGAGAGGCGAGGGGGAGAGGGCGAGGGGGAGAGGCGAGGGGGAGAGGGAGGCGAGGGGGAGAGGCGAGGGGGAGAGGCGAGGGGGAGAGGCGAGGGGGAGAGGCGAGGGGGGAGAGGGAGGCGAGGGGGAGAGGGAGGCGAGGGGGAGAGGGAGGCGAGGGGGAGAGGCGAGGGGGAGAGGCGAGGGGGAGAGGCGAGGGGGAGAGAGAGGCGAGGGGAGAGGCGAGGGGGAGAGGGAGGCGAGGGGAGAGGGAGGCGAGGGGGAGAGGGAGGCGAGGGGGAGAGGCGAGGGGGAGAGGTGAGGGGGAGAGGGAGGGGGAGAGGCGAGGGGGAGAGGGAGGCGAGGGGGAGAGGTGAGGGGGAGAGGCGAGGGGGAGAGGGAGGCGAGGGGGAGAGGCGAGGGGGAGAGGCGAGGGGGAGAGGCGAGGGGAGAGGGAGGCGAGGGGGAGGCGAGGGGGAGAGGGAGGCGAGGGGGAGGAGGCGAGGGGGAGAGGGAGGCGAGGGGGAGAGGGAGGCGAGGGGGAGAGGGAGGCGAGGGGGAGAGGGAGGCGAGGGGGAGAGGGAGGCGAGGGGGAGAGGGAGGCGAGGGGAGAGGAGGCGAGGGGAGAGGGAGGCGAGGGGGAGAGGCGAGGGGGAGAGCCGAGGGGGAGAGGCGAGGGGGAGAGGCGAGGGGGAGAGGGAGGCGAGGGGGAGAGGGAGGCGAGGGGAGGGGAGAGGCGAGGAGGAGAGGGAGGCGAGGGGGAGAGGCGAGGGGGAGAGGCGAGGGGGAGAGGGAGGCGAGGGGGAGAGGCGAGGGGGAGAGGCAGGCGAGGGGGAGAGGCGAGGGGGAGAGGCGAGGGGGAGAGGGAGGCGAGGGGGAGAGGCGAGGGGGAGAGGGAGGCGAGGGGGAGGGAGGCGAGGGGGAGAGGGAGGCGAGGGGGAGAGGCGAGGGGGAGAGGCGAGGGGGAGAGGCGAGGGGGAGAGGGAGGCGAGGGGGAGAGGTGAGGGGGAGAGGGAGGCGAGGGGGAGAGGGAGGCGAGGGGGAGAGGGAGGCGAGGGGGAGAGGCGAGGGGGAGAGGCGAGGGGGAGAGGGAGGCGAGGGGGAGAGGCGAGGGGGAGAGGCGAGGGGGAGAGGGAGGCGAGGGGGAGAGGCGAGGGGGAGAGGGAGGCGAGGGGGAGAGGGAGGCGAGGGGGAGAGGCGAGGGGGAGAGGCGTACTGTCCAGCAGGCAACGCAGAGGACTGTGCACGTAGAAAAGGCCCACGAGGATCCCTGACAGGTGCCCGATGAATGACGCCCTGCACACACAGAGAGAGGAGAGAGGGGAGACAGAAAGAAGAAGAGACGGGGGGGGGGGGGGGGTGTTAGGTTTAGAACATCTAGAATCCAAGCGTCTCTGCCCCCCCAATTATTGAGATCGCCATGCGGCGGCTCATCACCTGCATTTTAAGTGAAGTTGCCAAGCATTTTGGCGTTCAGGTCATTGCGCCTGTGAGTTATGGTTTCAGGTGAGGCGTTTTGGAAGCTATAGGTGAGGTGTAGGCTCCACCCACTGCTCAGGTAACCCATCCCACTACTCGGGTAGCTCTACCCACTCGCATCATCAAGGGTCAAGCAGGAAGCCAGGGAGTTTTAAAACAGTGACAAAATCCCGATTTTCACTGAAGCTTCAGCAAGGGTCCACCGGGACACGGCCATTATGGCTGAAGATGCATTATTGGATCACATACAGTCATAGCGCTGTGGTGGCGAGATGTTAACTATCTCCCCTGGTATACAGGAAGTCGTGGATTTGATTCAAACCCTGACGTCTGTATATTTGTTCTCCCAGTGGTCGCATGGATTTTTATCCTCGGTCCTCAAGGTTTTCCCCTCCACATTTAGAATCACGTGTTTTGAGTATTTAGCTGCTGCTATACATTTCCACATGATAAACTCCATTAAGCGATCATTTCTGGCCAAGTCTGCTTTTTAAAAAAAGAGCTACACAGCTCAGCGGACCTTACCTGGAAAAATTAAAATATAGTTTTAATATTTTTTTAGTTTTATTATGAACCTACCGGGAAAGTTTTTTTCCGGCCACACCGGGATGTTTTGTAGCTTGAGGCTCAGGGGGTCAGTTCCACAAAAAGCCTAAGCTCCCATGTAAACCAACGTTCATGAGGGGTGCGTGCGATGGAATTGACCCAAGGGGGGGAGAGCGGGGGGGCGTGCAGACCTGGGTACCAGCAGGTGGATGACGACGAGCTCGGCCCAGCATGCGTAGCGGTTCTGCACGGGGAATGTGTTCATCACGTAGGTCACTCCGCCAGGGTTGTAGTGGTTGTTGATCACCTTGAGTCCAAACAGGACACCTGGAGGGCACGGGGTGCAGCGGGGGGGCAGGTGCGAGGCACGCCGAGGTCACCCTCATTTTGTCTCTGATGTGGCGCCCTTCACGGCAGGCTCCATCGCATCTCAAAAGTTCAGAGGGAAGCCCCCCCCCCCCCCCCCCCCCCCCCCCCCCCCACCCTGTAACTCAACACCTGGCCTGCAAGTGGGCATCAGTCTGCCAGTGGGGGTGATGATCGCTGCTGCTATGTGTGATCCCAATTGAGTCGTATATATTTTTTGGTTTAACCCGTAGGCTTTCACGACCAATATCATCCATGAGAGGTTTTTGGGTTAGAGCGTGTAAAAAAATAAATGTGTCCTTAAAACCCGCCACCACCCGACACAATCAACTAATAAGGGTCGTCACATAATGCACATGCTCGCATAATGCACATGAATAATGTACGTTGCCTCAGTAATCCCCCCCCCAAATTGTGCAAAAGCGCAGAAGGGTGGTCAACACATCTACGCCTCTATATAAGGAACGAAACAGTAAGACTTCTCCACAAATCTGGCTGTCGCCTGAAGCTAGTTGTAATTACTGGCGAAACGTCGTACTGTTTGTAAATGTTGCGGCTTGGCTCTCCAACACACCGGTGTGCTGTACTGGTGACGAATTGGCATGTTCTGTTTACGTGACAACCCTTACTAGTTGGCTGTGTCGGATGGTGGCAGGTTTTAAATACATATTTATATATTTACGTGATCTAACCCAAAAACGTCTATTATGGATATATATTTTTTTATTAGGCAAAATTGGGCCTATGATGCCGGAACAAGATGGTCTGCTCCATTTGAGAAAATTTATGCTGGAGGTATCCGATGAGCTGTAAAGCTCTTTCTCACAGATGTTCAGCAGGCTCTCGAATCTCCAGGGCATTTCACACGAGAATTCTGGCACTCCTGCGGCACGGGGGGGGGGGGGGGGGGGGGTAGTGCCTACCGGAGAAACCGATGGCGCACTGCTCCATGTAGGAGTAGCTGCCCGTGGCGAAGGCCAGCGCGGCGGCCAGCGCTAGTTGCACCACGCCGGTCAGCGCTGACAACACCAGCAGCAGGGTGCCGAAACGCACGCTGCCCAGCCGGCCCTCCAGCGCAACGCCCTTCCACAGCGCGGAAATCATGTTGAAGTAGAGGTGCATGTCGTCGGCGTGGTGCACGGGCGCCAGCGCCAGGCGCCGCCAATCGCAACCACCCCACACGGCCTCCACGCCCAGGCAGGTGGCGTGGGGGCCGCCCCATGGCGCCATGAACAGGAGGGCGTTGAGGCCGATGGCGCCCAGCGTCACGGGCGGAATGCGGTGGAGGCCGAAGCGGAGCATTTCGACGCCCAGCAGCAGCACGCCGATGCCTGGGGAGTGGCCGCCCCTCTGGTAGCGCCGCATGTCAACGCTGCAGAGAACCAGTTTCTACATCAATGTCTAGGACAAGTTGGACATGTATTCGTTATTACGGTATTGTTATGCTTTCGCATGTTCAACCAGGAGGGTTCTACCAAGTTTTTGCAGTAAGGGGGCGATGCTGCTGCTGCTGTGAATTTGAAATGTATTTATGCTGGATGAATCCGATGAGCTATGAAGCTCTTTTTCACAAATGTCCAGTGTGATCCCAGTCAAGTAATTCGCAGGTACATTTTCAGCCCTGGGGTTTTTTTGGCTAGTACCAGTTCCACTGCAAGTGTTTACCTTGGGAGGAAAACAGCAGAATCCAGAGAAACTCCACGCAGAATTGGAGGGAGAGAGATCATAGAAACTCCACATTCACACGCTCGACATCATAGGCGAACAAACTGCACAGGCGTCACAAGAAATACTTCGCATAGGGTGGTGTGGTGGTGGTGGTGACACTCGTGCCTCACAAGCAAGAGACCCCTGGGTTCGAGTCCCGACTGGCGCCACTGCGTGGTGCAGTTTGTACGCTGTCTCCCCCGGTTCCGAGTGGGTTTCCTCCGGGTTCTCTGATTTCCTACTCCCATAGCTAAACCCACACACACACAGTGGAAACTGGTTTTGGCCAAGGCATTTCAATGCTGAACAAGCCCCTGAAAATTACTCAATTGGGATCACACTAAAACTAAACTACAATTTATTTTACAGGTAAGGCCCACTGAGCTATGTAGCGATTTTTCAGAAGTGACCTGGTCATCACAAATGATATCTCAAAAAAGTGGTTTATCATCGTGTGGAAATGTATAGCAACCATCTACTCGAAACACGTGATGTTTATTACAAATTTTGAGGGAAAAACCGGAGGACCCGAAGCAAAATCCACGCTGCCATGGGGAGAGACACACCAACTCCAAATATACAGCAGGCGTCAGGGTCGGGATGGAACTCACAAATTCCTGTATATCAGGATACTGGCAAAAAGGTCCCATAGATATAACTCTTGACCCGAGCTGTAAGTGCTCTGATACTTGCATTTCCTTTGTACTGTTCGCCTCTTGGCGTTCTCTAGTCTAACACTGGTGGTGAGATGAGGCCATAAAAAGGCTGTCTCTGGTGAGGGTCAATCCGTATCAAAGACAATGCACACATTATATTATCAGAGAGCATGTTTTGCCGCAAGTAACGTGTGGTTAATGCGGACTTGACGATGCCGTGTTGCAAAAGGTATGTATCTATTTGTCGTTTGAGCATCTGAACACAACTCCTGTTTAATTATTGACAGAAGTGGGTAAAACCTATTCTTATCTTTCCACGCGAGGTAAGTTAACTATCTCGCCGCAGGGAAACGTCGCCTCTTGTTGCGAGCGAGTCGGGCAGGACCCTCGGAGCTGACGGCTCTCCCAACGAGCTTACTCGAAACTTAATTTTGTTACTCTTAGGTTCAATAATAGAAATAAAATGATCATTTTAAAATAATTATTTTATTTCTATTATTATTTATTTTTACCTACGTTACTTTACCGAAAAAACCTAAGAGTATGAATCCTTGCAGTCACGACAGCTTCAAATCTAGAATTAATTTTGTTAATTGTACTCAAGGCCGCACTGAGCTGCCACGTCGCTCTTTTTCCGAAGCGACCCGCGCTGTTCACCAGTGACAGCTCAACCAAAGTGACTCATCATCATCGTCGTCGTCGCGTGGACATTCATAGCAGCAGCCAAGTAACACGAACGCGCCTGAGAGTTCATCATCAATGTGGACACCCGGAGACAAATCCACGCGACCACGGGGAGAGAGACGCCGACAACTCCACATACACAGCAGCAGGCGTCGGGGTCAAACCCACGACCAGGCGAAGGAGTTAACAGCACAGGGCATCGGCGCTCATCTCCTGTGCACAGCCAGCGGTGGGAAACTCCACGTTACTCGGGCGAGCAACGCAACATCTCGCGTGCTTTAGCGATCCCACTGGCGCCGCGCAGTGACGGCACGGGCGCTAAACCTGGGGCCTATCTTACGGTCAACGATTGCCTCGCGGGAGAAGAAGCAGCCCCTCGACGGCTCTCCTCACCAGCAGCGGCGCAGCAACAGTAACAACAACAAAAGTAAACAACAACAAATACACAACAAAAGTAAACAACCAAAAGTAAACAACAGCAGCTCTCTGGGCGTTCCTAACGGACCGCGCGTGACTTCCGATTCGCAAACGGCGAAACTTGCGTCACGTGACCAGCGAGGGGGTGGGGGCTCGCCCGCGCCCCGCCCCTCCTCCACAGAGCGTCCCGGGCACGCGATTGGTCCGCGCTGCGACGCCGGTGACTCGGCGAGCCAATCGGTGCTGCGCCTCCCCCTCCACCCCCCCCCCTCGCCACCCCCCCTCCCCTTCGCCTTGTACCACGTGACCCCCCTCGCCACCCCCCCTCCCCTTGCGCCTTGTACCACGTGACCCCCCTCGCCACCCCCCCCCCCTTGCGCCTTGTACCACGTGACCCCTCGCCACCCCCCCTCGCCACCCCCCCTCCCCTTGCGCCTTGTACCACGTGACCCCCCTCGCCACCCCCCCTCCCCTTGCGCCTTGTACCACGTGGACCCCCTCGCCACCCCCCCTCCCCTTGCGCCTTGTACCAAGTGACCCCCCTCGCCACCCCCCCTCCCCCTTGCGCCTTGTACCACGTGACCCCCCTCGCCACCCCCCCTCCCTTGCGCCTTGTACCACGTGACCCCCGCGCCGTCACCATGAGCGCGCCGAGTCAACACACGGGAATGTTTTGACCTCTCGAGAAATCCGAGGAGCTGTGAAGCTCTTTGTCGCACACGTGCCGCGGACGTTCCACGTTCTTGTGACGGCGCCAGGCGGGTAGACGAGGGGTCTCCCCTCGCGGTGCGCCCAGGGTCTCGCGAGCAAAAGCAGCAGGATGGAGCCCTCTTCGTGGCCAGATGGACGACCACAACGCCGACCAACGAGAAGGCTCGGCCATAGCAATGTGGAATCTCCAGGCCTGTGTACAGGAGATGATGCGCCAACCCGTCAGCCCCCGGTGACCTGTGCAGACCAAGGCCCATGCTTCTGGCTCTCGTCAGCGATCTGCCGCGTGTCACCGTGGCGAGGAGCTGCAGCAGCAGCAGCCGCGCCTGACTCCGCTTGGGTGGTTCGATCCGGCCGGCCGCCCCGGTTAACACTGCGGGAGGTTATACAAACCACCGTGGCTCTCAACCGGGGGGGTGAATAATATTGTATGAATCTGTCAATACTGCATAAAATAACCACGATAAAATGTAAATCCACGTAACCTAGAACGATATAAAATACCTTCCCAAGTTCACTGATCGTACACAACGCGGGTTTCAAGAGGACCCGGCGAGCAAGAACTAATGACGTCACGCGTGCAGAGCGTCCTTTGATTTTGTTTTTTTCGCCTAAGTTGGGATAACCTCACGAAATGGACAATTGATTTCTAAAATATCGATGTCCGTTCATACATTCATTTCTCAGAACCACGTTGGGTCAGGCAAGGGGTGGTGGTGGGGGGGTACGCAGCTCGGTTGAAACCAAATTCATCAAGGAGGGTGTCAGTAGACCACCAAAGGGTGAGACGCACTGCGGGGCTGTCCGTGTGTAGCGTCGGAAATACAAAACACACTTACCTGTAGTTGCGGACACAGGCCCATAGGGGGTGCCACCCTGAGCTGGGGAAAGACAGAGGGAGCCGGACCGTTGAGGGGCCGGGTTCTCCCCCCCAGACCCCAGGTGAGGGGTTGGGGGGTTCTTCCAGAGCCCCATGGAAGGTTCCAGAAAGGGGGCGGTACCGGGGGCGGAGAGTCCCCGAGAGGTGTATAAAAGGGGCACCTCAGGGACAGTTCGGGGCAGTGCTCTGAAGACGAAGAACCGAAGACCAGCTAGGCTAGGACCCTGGGACCCCGGGACCCGACGTCCTTGTAGAGGCCGAGGCCGAGCACGGACCAGTGGTCGAGACCCGTACCTTGGCTGGGTCGGGTCAGTTGAGCATCCCCTAGGGCACAGATAGGCTGAGAGCTGAGAGCCAGGTTAACCCAGTGTGAGGGCACGCTAGTCCGGAGGCTGTACCTTCCTAGATAGTGGGAGTTAAGGGGAGTATTTTTAAAGTTGATAATAAACCTTGTTGCCTCGAAAGACAACGTCTCCAGTCCCCGTGGAACCCACGACATGTGCAACAGCGCAGCGCCGTTAGCTTCACTCTCAGTGGACGTTAAAGATCCCGTGGTGTCGGCACGCACCAGAGGGATTGTGCCCATTGCTTGCCGGCGCGAGCCACATTTTGCCAAATTCTAAAAAAGTTGACCGATGGAAAATTACTCGATTGGGATCGGGCACAGAAGCAGCAGCATCAGCGACATCGCCCTGCACTGTGAAGGGACTGCTGCTGCATCATCCTCCCGGGAGGCTGCACCGATTATCACGGTTTGGCTGCGTACGGTGCGAAATAAGTAAAAAATGTTATGGACTGATTGGCGGTATTCCACCGGTGCGGCATAACGACACAGTGGCGGTCCTCGTAAAACAGTCTCACGATGTCGCCGTTGCCCCCTTAAGCGAGCTGCAGGGACTCCATGAGAAGTTGCACGTTCACTTCAGCAGCCGCTTTCCTATTTGAAACGCGTGGCGATGACACCACCACATATTTGGATGACACTGTCCGCCAATAAATAATGAATTGAGGAACCGTCCGACCAGTCTACGGCACGAGGAGTCAAATGTTGCCTTTGGAACACGGAGGCAGCCGATCGTCATCAGGCTGGGTGCTGCTGCACGGCAACAGACAGCAAAGCTTCATGTTCAGCCGCTCATGAAGTTCCATCTTCCTACCCGCTTCGACATCACGAGAACCGATTCTGATGCACTACCACCACCCACCACCCCACCCAACCACCACCATCATCCACCAACACCACCCACCACCAGACACCACCCACCAACAACACCACCCACCACCACCACCACCCACTACCAACTACCACCAACACCCACCACCAACACTCACCACCCACTACCACAAACCACCACTGCCACCCACCACCTCCACCACCACCCACCAACACCACCCACCACCAAAACCAACCAGCCATCAACACCAACCACCACCACCCACCACTACCACCAACACCACTGCCACCCTACCGACACCACCCACCACCAACCACCCACTACCACTACCCACTACCACTACCCACCACCGATCACCCACCACAACCTACCATCACCCACCACCACTACCACCGACTGCCACCCACTACCTCCCACCACCCACCACCTCCACCACCCACCAACACCACCAAACACCACCCACCAACACCCACCACCGACCACCACCACCACCCACTACCACCACCCACCACCAACACTACCCACCATCACCCAACACCACCTACCACCGACCACCACCCACCACCCAACACCCACCACCACAACCCACCACCGCCTCCACCACCAACACCCACCATCCACCACCACAACCCACCACCACCCACTACCACCAACACCACCCACTACCACGACCACCCACTACCACCATCACAACCCACCACCACCCACTACCCACCACCACCATCAACACCACCCACTACCCACCACCACAACCCACCACCAACCACCACCGACCACCACTACCACCTACTACCACCCACCACCACCCACCACTGCCACCCACCACCACCCACCACCACCCACCACCGACCACCACCCACCACCAACACAACCCACACCACCCACCACCAACACCACCCACCATCAACACCACCCACTACCCACCACCACAACTCACCACCACCCACCACCACTACCACCCTACTACTACCCACCACCACCCACCACTGCCACCCACGACCACCCACCACCGACCACCACCCACCACCACCCAACACCCACCACCACAACCCACCACCACCACCACCAACACCCACCATCCACCACCACAACCCACCACCACCCACTACCACCAACACCACCCACCACCCACTACCACCATCACCCACTACCACCACCACAACCCACCACTACCCACAACCCACCACCAAGCATCCACCACCAACCACCACACACCACCACTAGCACCCACCACCACTACCCCACACCACCATCTACCACTGCCACCACCCACCAACCCACCACCCAGCACCACCACCCTCCCCCCCCTGCAAGATTTTCTGACCGGAGTTGCGAATTGCGCGAAAATAAATAATAGTTGCAAAATATTACTCTTTGGTTACTCTTTGGTTCTTTCGGTAAAGTCATGTAGGTAGAAAAATAAATATTAAATCACGACGTTTCAATCACAACACAAGCAATCATTAGGTAGAAAGATACAGCAGTAGAACTGCTGAACAAGACAGGGCTGTTGCAACAAGAGGTCATATATAGGTTTGAGGTGGGTGTCACCCAAGGGCAAGTAGGAGGGATCAGAGATGGAAAATACGCCCCGTCGTCACACGCACGTACAGCAGCTGCGTAATGGGTAGATATTGGCATGTCAATGTAGACGAGTTTAATGGGAAGATTGTATGTCTGTGCCAGAGGACCGGGCATAGCGCCACCTCGTGGACAACACAAGCTGCGGCATTAGCTGCTGCCACAGTGAGAGGCCAGCATATCAACGCAAGAGAACTACCGTAACGTGGCCGTGCCAGTGAGACATACAGCCTATTGAACAGCGAAAGCTACCGTTACACGAGGCAAAAGGGAACAGCAGTGACCATGTTAGACCTTCGTCTGTTAATGTAAAGACATTTAACAAGGTCATGTAATTCAGAGAGTCGTAAATAACTGCTAAACAACGGCAGGAAGGATGTAAACATCACAGCAAGTTATGACTTACCTGGTTAATAACATCCTTCCAATGATTGCTCAGTTTATACCCATCTTCTCGGTTGAAATTGTGTC